CTCGAGTCTCCTCTCCTCTCCTCTCCTCGAGTCTCCTCGAGTCTCCTCTCCTCTCCTCTCCTCGAGTCTCCTCGAGTCTCCTCTCCTCTCCCCAAGGAAGGGCTGGACGTGGCACTCAGGGCTCTGGGCTGGGGACAAGGTGGGCATCGGGCACAGCTGGGACTCCCTGGGCTGGGAGGGCTTTTCCAGCCTCAGGATCCTGGGATTCTGGTCTAGTGGAAGGCTCCCCTGCCCATGGCAGGTGGCTGGAACTCGATGATATCAAGTTCCTTCCAGCACCAGCCCTTCTATAATTCCATGGTGGCTCTTACATCTCCTCCAAATCAAAACATTGGAAGAAACCAGGTACAAATGTGCAAAACACAGCCCTGTTTGCAAGGTCATGGGCACTGAATGGGTTAAAAACTGCCACCTTCTCTGACTGCTGTCTCTAATTAGCCTGAAGCATCGGGGGAGATGCAGAGCTCCCTGCTGGGATTGATGTGTCAGGCAGGAAAACATCTCTGGTCTCTGCAGAGCAGTTCCCCCTGCAGACCGCGGAGGCGGGGGAGCATTCAGGGCTGGGGCAGAAATTCACTGCTCTGCAAGAAGGGCTTTGCTGCCATCGCTCCACTCCTGTGTCCCATTGCCTGGGAACTGTGTTCTGCACACAGGAATGAAGGTTCAGATACAGCATCATCAACAGAGGCACTGTCTGGAAGAAGAAAATTGTCAGGACTTGCGATTCCCAGGATGTTTAAAGCCTCATGGAAAAAAATGGGGAATGTCCCCAGAGAGCAAGTGACCCCCAACCCAAAGCACCTGTGAGGTTTCCAGCTCTGCCACCACAGCCCAGCTCCAGCTGGTGACCGGTGGCCATGCTGGGACGGGCTGGGATGGTCAGTGTGACATCTCCAGATGCAGCGGGACCAGAGCCCAGCTCGGCTACGTCAGACCCTCCGGGAGGAAAAGCCTGGTTCTGTTCTGGGACTCTGCTCAGTCCTCTGCTGCCTGCAGGTCTCCATCAGCTCCAGGAAGGCTTCCAAAGGCTCCTGCCAGGCTGGGAACATCAGCCTGGGAGTCCTGGGACCTTTGAGGGGGATATAAAGGATTCACTGGCAGCCTGGAGGGAAGGTGCTCAGGCAGCTCCTATCTGAGTATGGATACAGAAATATCCATTTCAATGTTTGTATTTAAGGCAAAAAAAAAAAAAAGCTTTTCTGAGCTGCTTCTCACATATCAGCTCCAGATAAACCCCAGCTCCCTCTGGCAGAGCTGCTGTAGCTGCAGTGAGGAGCAGTTTTGAAGGGAGGGTGCCCATGTCACAGAGAGCTCGCTGCCCTCAGACCCTTGTTTCTTGTCAATGAGAGCTGTGCACACCATTTATCGAAGCAGGGCAGAGCAGGGGCGGCACAAACTGCCTTTGGCAGTGCCAGATGTGCCAGATGTGATCAGTGGGTCCTGACAACCGAGATTCTGCTTCCTGCAGAGCAGGGACCTGCACCCAGCTGAGGGCCAGAAACCCGTAAGGAAGGACAATCCTTGTCCACCTTTCAGCCTGGCCAGGGGGGTAAGTAGGACTGAAACCTCTTCCCAGCCTGCAGAATTAGTTCCTGGGCAGCACAGGGAGCTGCCAGAGCTCCCCCATCCAGGAGAGGGTGATGTGGTTATTGTTGTCTTCGTTCCTGCTGGAAAACAGCGCTTGAGTTTGTACATACAGGCATATCCAAGTCCCAAATCCGCCACCCCTGGGCTGGCAGATGTTCACAGCGCTGCTTTTCGGCACTCACAGGCTGCTGGGGGCTTGGCAGAGCACGGCTGCCCTGCCCGGGTTCTCAGCTGTGCTCAGCTCTCAGAGGCACAAACTGGCACAAGGCACTTCCCTCAGGCCTCTGCTGCCAAGGGTATTTTTAGAGAAAGAAAAGATCATCAAGCCTGAGGTTTTTTCACAGAAAGAAGAAAAACAGAGGTGCAAATGATCTAAGATAATAATAGTAATAATAATAATAATAATAATAATAATAATAATAATAATAATGACAACAATAGATGTAAAGTGAGGATGAGGCTCCATGCCAGCAGAGATGTGTTCTGCAGCACCCACACAGAAGGGATTCAGGAATCTCCTCCACAGAGCACTGAATCCCCACTCAGATCTCCGGGTGAGGGGATCTGGCAATGCCCAGGCCCTGCTGTGTGCACGGGGCTCCTCCTCTCGCTCGGCTGCTGGGCCTGGGGAGCCAAGGAGCAGTGAGCTCCCTCAGGGGTGGGACTTGTGTGGGACACACGCCTGCTTCCCTTCTGCCCTCCAGCCAGGATGTCACTCCCCAGCCCCATTGCTTCCTGGAGCAGATCACATCTGCCCGTGGAGCAAACAGTGAGGAATCCAGCACCACCCATCACCCAGAGAGGAATCCAGCACCACTCATGATCCAGAGAGGAATCCAGCACCACCCATCATCCAGAGAGGAATCCAGCACCACTCATGATCCAGAGAGGAATCCAGCACCACTCATGATCCAGAGAGGAATCCAGC